TCTAGTTGTGAGGCTGAGATATACGTGGGGGCCATGGCTGCGCTGGAGTTGCGCTGGCTGACCTACCTGCTTACCGACTTGGGAGAGAGGCCTCGTTCTCCTCCAGTTCTGTACGTCGACAACAAGGTCACGATTGCTTTGTGTCAGGAGCACAGACTGGAGCACAGAACGAAGCACATGGCTCTGCGGTACTTCCTTGCGCGAAATTTGCAGCTGTGTGGTCAGCTTCGTTTTGCCTTTGTGGCCTCATAGGCCATCACTGCTGATGTTTTCACCAAGGCACTTGTGGCTGGTGATCATCAGAACCTTTGCACTGCTCTAGGTCTTGTGCCTATTCAGCCTCACTTTCTTACTACTTGACTTTGCTTTGTACTGTGATATATATATATTAACACCTGCATGCTTACTTTTGCTAGGTTGTGATCACTGTACTGTTTGCTCTGTTTTTTACCACTCTGCATATGAACTGCCTTGTGGCAGCTTACTTATGCTCAGACTGCGTGGTGACGAGGGATCCACCCCGAGCTTTGCTCTGTTGCTTTTGACTGGTCTTATGATTATTGCTTGCTCTTGCTATCCCCCACTTTGCCTATGGGGGTGTGACAAAACTAATTTATATGTCTGTTGGTTGTTGTGGGGTAGCCCATATAGAGTACAACCCTTTTAGCGTTAGGTATTTGTACGCTCATTCCTTGCAAGTGAAGTGATTCCTGCTCGTTAGTTTCTGATATGAACGAGTGTTGTTATTTTTTTATGTCATCACACGAAAACGAACTGTAATGTGTATGTATCGTTCAGGAAATCGGTGGGAGTATGTCGCTATAGATACTTTTTTTTTTTTTTTCTGGTCTGATAGCGCTAATCCGAGGTACAGAACGTGTTTCTGAACACGGAATTAGGCGCAAAGCCGCTCAAGCGATTTCTGCTCCACGATGGGTTAGTACTGTAATGTAGTAAATCGTGTGCCTGTTCATTAAATTCACTGTAACCTATTTCTTTACACGAGTCTCGGTATCGAGTTTCTCGATACGGGGTTCAGTCGCAAACTGGCTGCGACGTGGTCGCAAAGATCACGTCGCAACCATCCGCGCGACAGGTGCACGTCAATTCACGGTTGCACTTTGACTCTGGCGAGAGCACGTGCTTCGCCAGCTACACTGCACGCACGAATCGGTTTGGGCAGAGAACTGTTTCACGGGCAGGCCGAGCCTAGCACAAGCCTGCGCCGCTTCCCCGTAGGTCGAGTCCCGACTCCCAAAAAAAACCGCCTTTTTTTTTTTTTTTTTTTCCCCCTCTGGCAAATCCGCTCGACCTGCGCCAACAATACTGCATCAGTTCGGCATATTCCTCTGTCTGGATCATGCGCGCCAGCCTGGTCGAGATTCACGCACCTGGCAGCCATTCGTCGTCAACCCATCTTGTCAGACAGCACAGAAACGGAAACCTGTGGTGTTCGTCTCTTTTGCCACCCCTAGCCGTTCGTTCAATTGGTGTAGACAAATGTCTTCACTAACGTCTTCGTGAAGCTTCACTGAACCAATGGATGTTCGTCACAAGTCACCAAAACCGGATTTGCCGCGTTTGGGCAAATCTTCGGCCCAACGCGGCATCCCAGATTTACGCGCATTTCGCTCGCCCTCTACTGTGCCCAGCCACCACGACATCTTGGATTCAATGTGTTTTTTTGCGCAAGGACGGATGATGTGTTTTACAAATTGGGTGGAAAGATAAGTGTCACACACTCAAGTGTGTTTGAGTGATTCCTATTACATGCAGATTCGGCTTTTAGAAAACAGACAGGAAAAACGCGGGTTGGAATGCCTGAAATTCCCCTGGATGAACTATCATCTGGCCGCTGTGAAAGTTCACCACAGAAAAATCAAATCAGAATCCAAACGTAATAATTCATTTCCCTACCACGCATTTGTCTCAAGCGAGTTGCGAAAGCTGGTGCTGCCGTGCTGCGAGGAACGCTATGGCTACTGTAACTAGGTCTCCGTCCAACCAAAGGCTGCCCTGCCCTACCCTGCCCTCCCTCCCTTCCTCCTCCCCCACCTCTTCCTCACCTTCCCTAGGGTTTGCTTGCATGTGAAGATCAGAGTTCACATCCAGCATTTAAATTTAGGTAGAGCCTTCACAGAATATTCAGACCCTGAATGTTCTCCAGCTCAAGAGCAGGTCTCATTGTATCTCCTGGTGGAAGTGCCGCTTCACTGCGGCTCCTTGACATCGTTTAAAATTATTTTTTGAAGTTGTTGCTTGAAGATTATTCATTCTCTGATTATCAGCCATGGGGATTCCTGCTGCGGGCCAAATTGAGATTTTTAAATGGCTCAAATACGGAGAGAAGGTGCTCTCATCCAAAGGAGGACCGACAGTAACAAGGTAAAGGACGTATATCCTAGTGAGTCACCAGTCATTTCTGGCCCACAATTTTTTTGAAATCCATTTGCATCCTTTCATTTTGAATGTTACTGTCATGGCTCTGTACAATCCCCTTGAAATACGGACATCTCGACTAAGCACGGTATTCTTTTTGCTCTGCAGGCTTTACTTCAAATGTAGCCACGGAGTGAACACGGAGAAAGGCCGTGCTGGGTTCCTCTGCCCTGCAAGGAAGATTGTGGATGTGCGCGCAGAAGTCACTGCAAGCAATGCGTCTGCAGATCCGGATTCCACGTCATCTCCATCATCATCCACGTCAGCATCTTCAGGAGGTGAAGCACCATCAAACAGCTCCCATACTCATACAACGACGACTTTTCGCCACTCCCACAACCACCAGACGCTGGCATCGTCGTGGGTGAGCCCTCGCCGCGGCATGGCCGCTGCTGCACGATGCCGCACTCCCTCTACTTCCACTTCTGCCGCCAATGCCGCCTCCAATGGCAGCGCCAGTGCTGGTGCCACCCAGCTCCAACCTACAGCTGGAACTGCTGCTCCTCTGGTCGGCCAGAAGCGAAGATGGTCCTCCTTGGCCTCCACATCTGATGGACCGGTGATAGCGGCCACAGCAGTACCTTCGCCAGTGAATTGCAGCGCCGCTGCTTGCAAGTCCCAGTCCCAGACACCAGTGGTAGCATCTGTTGGTGCTACATCAACTGTGGTGGCTGACAAGACTGCTGCAGCTCTCCCAATCAGGCATGTGGCTATCCGGTGCCAGACATCTCCAGTGAAGGCATCAAATACGCCCATCAGCATGGGGAGCCGTGGAGCCTTCACTGCAGTGAATGGCAGAGCTCTCATCAATGTGGCGCGCGGTCTTCCATGTGTCGTGATGCATGCGCCAATGAAGAGAGTTACAATGTCTAGCGAGAGCATATCGCAAAGCACAACTACAGGTTCAAGTCCTACAATGTTGGGTTCAGCCCGCCAATGTCACCCTGAGGCGTCAGTGTTAACTCCTTCCGGAAGCAGCAAGGTGATATCATTGCCTCTCACAAAAATGGCGTCCCAATCTTCAACTGCAGCGACACCTCTCCTGCAGCAAACCTCAGTTCCAGTGGATGGATCAGAGGCATTGAGACTAAGCCGCTCTCCCAGTCAGTCATCTGCTGTTACCATGCAATGTGTGTCTCTTGCTGCTGGGGGAGGTGCTGCTTTCGCCAACAGCGGCTGGACTGTAGGCCCTGGCATCTCAAGTCCTCGTGCTGCTGCTACTTTGCGTGCTACACCTGCCACGGCTCCTGCCAGCCATTGTCCTCTTGCTACCTCCGCTCCTGGTGGTGGCAGCCCAATTGAGTCAACACTTGCCGAATGGCGTCCCTGTGTCAAGTCTAATCCTGCTATGGGTGCTGCAGATGCGGTCCAGATAACAGAATCAGGGATTCAAGTGACTAAAGTCAGCCCAAGGAAGGCCATTTGCCTGGGCCTTACGGAGCATCTGAGGAGGTTTCAGAGTGGATCGGTGGAGGATTTTGGCGACATTCATGGTGTGCTTGGGGTTGACCAAGATAGGCCATCGCTTGGGCTTGAGGAGACAAGCACGCTCAAATGCGCACCTTTGGTAAACCTAGAGTTGAGACTTGCTTTGGGCTAGATGCATTGGGTATGGTAATGTGGTTGAATAAAATGCTGCGCCTGACACTTCCTGCCACTGGCAGCAATAGCTTCAGTCCCTGTAGCATGCAAGCCATAGCCCCCTTAATGTTAAACTAGCTTGTAACATAGATATGCTGTTAATTGCTCCAGCATGTTAATGAGAATAAAAGGAGTATCAAGTTATGCTCCATGTAACAAAGTGCATCTTAACTTCAGCAAATGCGCTCCACACGTACACATGGTTAGTGGGGAGGGGGAAGGGCTGCAAGAGGTGTGAGAAAAAGGGGAGGGCGGAGTGAGATGCGAGAGGCTAGAGGGACAGGGGACATTTGGCTGCAACACGGTGGAGGTGGGTTGCGAGAGGAGAAAGGGAAGGGAAAAGAGACGTGCATCATGGTTCAAAGTGGATGGAAAAGGCGCCTAACCAAACACTAAGCCGCCCCAGCAGCCCATAACTCGCCTCCGCAGGATCCACGGTGGCACCAGGCTCGGCTGTGCTTTGCTGCTGCACCACCCCAACAAGCCCAACCTGGCCCATCATATGGCTCAACTCTTGAGATGCCTCAACATTTTGACATGCCTCAAAACCTCGAGATGTCTCAAATCCTCACCCGCCCCTCGCTGCTGCACTGCCCGAACGAGCCCAACCTGATCCACCTGATGTCTCAATCCCTGAGACGTCTCAAGTCCTTGACAAGTCTCAAAACCCCGCCTTCCCTTGCTGCTGCGCAGCCTGAACGAGCCCAACCTGATCACCGACTCATCTCCAGCGAGTGCAAGATCTCCTCTCTGTGGCACCGTTGGCTCAAAAACAGTCCAGCCAGCTCTAATGTGCCTCAGAATGCTATACCATTGCCGCTGAGGCCTCGCAGTTCCTTGCTGCTGCACTGCCCGAACCAGCCCAACCCGGCCCACCAAATGGCTGAGCCCCAGCAGACGTCTTATAAGGTTGGGATGTC